TGTAAGTGTGTCTGAATCTGGCAAGAGACCAATCAGATGAGTAATCACAATATAGCCTGGTAAGAGCTATAAAGTCCTGAAGTGCTAGGGGTGCTTCTGGATTGAGGAAAAGGGAACAATGACTTTAGTCAAAAGGCAGGGAAAGGAGAAGGGAGCTACAGAGGAACCCATCTGTAAATCAGGCCTTGAAGAAATGTGAAAATATAGCAAAGAAGAAGAAAAGGCACCTCAGGGAAGTATAAGGTACAAGACACAGAAGTGTGAAAGAATGTGCAGGCCAGTGGTCCTGAGCAGATCTGGGGCTATACCTACTTTCCAAAGGGCAGCATTCAGTGTTCAGTGTGCAGCCTGCACAATCATCCACAACAATCATGGTTGAAAGGAGTGACTATGGTCCACAGGAAATACAGCCAAAAGTGTAAGGGTGTTAGTTGGGAAATGGAAAAATGGAACATGAAGTAAAAATGATTATTGAACCCTAAACATTATTCAGTAGGCTAGTGGACAGGTTATATTTAAAGTCATTTCAATAGGAAATTTAAAAATCAACCATTTCTATTTAATGAGTGATAGCAGCACATTTTTATTTATGATGGCAGGGACAAATGAATTAAACTTTAAGACAGTGTATTTCGCATTTAATACTAGTCCTTAACATCTTGAGAACACAGATCAGAACTGGACAACAAGTCATCTATAGCTACTTCTTTATTAGGAAAGAAATTATTCTCCCTAGAGACCAAATAAGAAAATCAACTTGCAACTTCAGAACAATTAAACTTCACAGTAAGATTCTAAATTTTCAAAGGGGGGGGGAAGAAATTATTTATGACAGTGTTTCTCAAATTTAGTTCCTTTCACAGACATACTCTGAGGAGGAGGTCCTTAAGTGTTCTATGATGACTTTACATTTCACGTTTTAATTTTGCTGGTAATCTAAATAAAATTCATACACAGCTATTTAGAATTATCTGGACAACCACCTTCTCTACCATTGTTGCCACATTTGCCCCACCTTTGTGCCTCTATCCATGTGGGCCTAGCAATTACCAATCTTCATACAATTTCTCAAAGTAGTTCCTCACACCCTTCACAGAGTTGTGGATCATCCTGTACAACTGGGAGATGGTGAGATTGTGAACACTGGCTCAGAGCGTGACTCTCAATATGGAATGGCTGAGAGATTATGCATGTGGTTTGAAAAAAATTCATAGCATCCATTGATTTCATAATAATAACTGCATAATGTTAAGTTCAGCAAAATAATTTCAGTTGATGGCCAGTAATGGGAAGCCAACTACGGATTTATCCTTGGGAGGTCTAGATAAACATGGTTGAGAAACACTGGCTGTGAGGTACAGGCATGCTGGCACATGGAGTACAGCTAATAAAAAACACATGATAAAGAGGAAAACATCTTTTGGATCAGTGAGTAAGTCCTGAACCAGACTTGTCATACTCTTCTGAAACCCAAAGGGCCAATCTGGGGGAAAAAAACCAAAGTGGTCTGTCAACCTTAGCCCCATGCCTAGGGGCAAGTTGGTCCACTTTTTCATTCTGAGGAAAAAAAAAGAAGAAGGCTGTTTGTGCTCAAAATCCCCTCCACCAGGAAATGCTGTCATCCTTTGTGCTGCCATCCAGCTCTCAAGGGGAGACGTCAGCATGAGGTCTGCTTTGCTAGGAAAGAAACAAAGAATTGGCTCTTCTTATAAGGTAATTTATCTTCATTTCCCCCTCATCACCAGAACACTTACTCTTGCCATTTAAACACACTTTGATATAGGCGACTTTGGGATGAAATACAGGCAGCACAGAATGTCGAGGGGAAAGGATAATGCAAAAATAAACCACCTGAATATGAAGATGCTAAAATACAGGCAGTTGGGGAAGTGGTACTTCTGTTTTTCTTGCATTCTTACCCTAGGCTTAAACTGCTAAACCTGTTCCAGAACAGGAGAAATTGTACCACTAATTGGGTTTTTAGAGGTTTAGAACTCAGAGTGAGGCCAGAAAGCAAACTCAAACAGAGACAGTGTTCATCTGCTGTGATGAAATTGTACATTATGATTAGAAGATTTATCGATGTTTTTATTTCAGGGGACTCAGTTGTATTTTTTTAGACCCCCTTTCATTATTCTGAGTAACCACCACAAATTATGTATACTTTCTGTACAAGGGATAGGTTATTAATTTGTGGGCAATATATCCCCACAAGGAATATTTTGGTTAAGGAACAACTAGTTTCTCCTTTCTGTATAGGAGCCAGTGATCCGGTGACCTGAATAGATATTCACTAGCACTAAGTGCTAGAGAGCTGGACCAAGCAGCTGCTCATCAGACCCCCGACAGCATCTTGGTTCCTTTCTAAACAGCTCATCGCCCATGGGTTTCCATTGAGCTGAAGAGCTTTAGTTACTAACTTTAGAAAAATTTTGTTTGTCATTTGAGAAGCCAATTAAATTGAATTGATTTGAATATGACCTGTCTATTGTTCTAGAATGTAAGTTCTATGTTATCTTTTTTTGTATCTGTATTTAATACAGTGTCTGGCACAATAAGTGCTTGTTAAATGAAGGTTAGTTGAAAGGATTTCTCCCCTTTGACACAATCCATTCCTTTGTGAAATCTAAAATTCATGATGAACAAATGGTATCTCGGTTCCTCAAATCATTCTTTTCCCAGTGGGAATGCCCTCCTACAGTATAATAAAACCTGACAGTGGACTCCCACTGTCTCCCAGTAGTCTGGCCCAGTGTCTCACCTACCACTCACCTGTGATTACTGCAGAGCTCCAATTTGCTTCAGCCTCACCAACAGTTCCCCATTCTGTTGCATAACCTCCAGATCAGTGCACCCGCCTATACAATCTTTACCAATAAAGACCCGAGGAACCTACAAAAGCAAACAACGCAGGACTGATAAGGAACTTGATTATTAGTAAATTAAAATGAATGATACTTTAATCCTGTATCCAACACTTCTTCAAGCTTTTTAACACACTTTATAATCCCCTTCTGAATATTCTTTTAAGAAAGAGCAGTCTTACTGTGAGAATAAAATTACTCATTAAAAAAAGGTTTTCAGATGTATGATGGAGAAAAGACAGGCACTTCAACAAGTGGTTCTGAGAAAACTGGATATCTGCATGCAAAAAACTGAAACCAGATTCATGTCTTACACCATGTACAAATATCAGTTTAAAGTGGATCAAAGAAATGGTCACTAGATTGAAGAGGCTGTCCACAGAATGGGAGAAAACCTTTGCCAGCTATACATCTGACAAGGGATCAATAACCAGAATATACAGGGAGCTCAAAAAACTTCCAAAGAATCAATGACCCAATGAGGAAATGGGCAAATGAACTGAACAGAGCTTTTTCAAAGGAAGAAGTCCAAATGGCCAAAAAATGCATGAAGAAATGTTCAACATCCCTGGCCATAAAGGAAATGCAAATCAAAACAACAGCAAGATTCAATCCTGTTAGAATTGCTACCATCAAGAACACAACAAATGTTGGTGAGGATGTGAGGAGGGGAAAGAACCCTCATTCACTGCTGGTGGGAATGTAAATTAATACAACCACTATGGAAAACAGTATGGAGGCTCCTCAAAAAACTAAAAATAGATCTGCCATAAAATCCTGCAATATCACTCCTAGGCATGTAGCTGAAGGACTGTGAGTCAAAATACAATAAAGACACTTGCACACCATGCTCACTACAGCATTATTCACAGTAGTCAAGCCGTGGAAACTGCACAGATGCCCTACAACTGCTGGATTAAGAAAATGTGGTGTTTATATACAATGGTACTTTATTCAGTCTTAAAGAAGAATTAATTTTGTCATTTGCAGGTAAATGAATGGAAGTGAAGAACATCATCTTAAGTGATGTTAGCCAGGTTCAGAAAGACAAAGGTCACATGTTTTCTCTCATATGTGGAAGATAGATCCAATACAAATATAATCATTATCAAAAAATATGTACAGAATATATTTCCAAAAGGGGACTGTTAGAAGAGACTAAGGGAGGAGGAAAAGAAAAGAATGATAGTGAACAATAATTAAATATATTACATCTAAGTAGGAGCAAGACACAATTGAGCACACTGAAAACTGTTGCACAGTATAGGGTAGGGGAAAAAGGTGAGGAAGAGCAGTGCAGGGAGTTAAACTGACTTAAGTACAGCAAAATCCCCACTAAACAATGAACAGACACTTAGGGATGTAAAACAGGTCACGTTAAGGGAAGGGGGAAGATAAGTGAAGAGGATAAAGGAGGGTGGATATGGTTGATGTACTTTCTATACAAGGATGAATTTGGAACACTGAAACTGCTGAAGTCACTTTAAGAAAGGGAATGGTGTAGGAGGAAAAATAGAAGGGCCAAACCAGAGAGAGGTATAATACACGTATACGGAAATGTCACGATGAAACCCCCTGTACAACTATCATATGCTAATAAAAATGTTTTTTAAAGATGATTTTCAGGGCTGGGGATGTAGTTCAGTGATAGAACATTTGCCTAGCATGCACAGGCCCTATGTTCAATACTCAGCACTACAGGAAAAAAAATGTTTTTAAGCCAGAATATTTCAAATTGAATGTATTGGGCATATGATTGCCCAAACTGTCAAAGGAATTAAAAATTGTCACTGCACAGAAACATGTTTCAGGGAGAGAATTTTGATTGGCTACAGCAAGTCCACCCTGACTGTATTCTGTTTTCCCTGCATTTGGGGCCACAACAGTTGGAAAAATATTTGCATTTGGCCTCTGATTTCTAAGCTCATGATTAAATGAAGTCATCTTTCTATGTTATTAAAATATAGCTGAGTTCTGTCCTCAACTAGGTGGCACAGTGATGATGTCTGAGTTGCTCTTCTTTCATCCCTGATCTGTTGAAAGATGTTAGATGCTTCATTTCTGGGACCAAGGACATTCATCTGCTTTGACTTTACGCTTCCAAGGGTGTTATGCTTGCTGAATGGGTTCCTCTCCAGTCACACACTCCCTTCTTACTGCTAGATACAGGCACATTCCAGAATCCCAGAGGACTTTTAGAATCCTGAGGGAGGAATGAGCCCCTTCAATTGTGGCCCAGGCAACTTGCAGGCCAGTGGTCTCACAGGAAGGCTGACTAGCAATGGAGAAGTGAGCACCATATAGGTCACCTGAGCTACTAGGAGGACAGGCCTTCACGCAGAACACTAGGAAAGGACCTGAGGGATGGGAGAGGGGAAAGGCAGCAATAAGAATATTTTCCAGTGTGTTTGATTTTCTTCAGAAGGCATGATGTCAAGTAAGAAAGAGAGAAAAAGGATTAAATTACTGTGCATAAATTCTAGTAGCATGGCTGTAAAGGAAGTCTAGGCTTTAAAAAATAAAGGCTAAAAACTAGCCAGAAATCCTGTACCACACATCCACAGCAATTCCCTGGGCCTTGAGAGTGAGAAATTGCCCATGGACTCCTTTCTGGTGAGTGTACGGTAAAGTCCCCCTGGGTCCAAGGAGATGTTCAGCACAGAGGAGCTGGGTGGAAGACTTTGCACATAGGAACAGAACAGTTTGAGGCTGTGTTCATCAGCCAGAAGGAGAGAAGCTGCAGAGAAGTGAGGCAAGAAACCTAGAATTTCCCCTGAACCCTAGTCATTGTTTTAGAAAAATAAAGCTCCCAACCCAATACTTTTGGGCCTTTCAGCTTCTGTCTTGCTGGAAACACTTGGCTATGGTCAATTGTAACAGTAAACAACAGCATCCTAATGTAATTCTTTTATTTGAGTATATTAATTGTACAAAGGAATTCATTGTGATATGGCCTTACATGCATACAATGTGCTTTGATCAAAAACTCACTCTTCTATTACCTTTACCCTCCCCCCTCTTACAATTTTAATAGGTTTCATGATTCTACTTCATTTATGCATAAAGTATGTCCACCGTGTTTACCCTCCGCTCTCTTGCTGTTCCTAATGTAATTCTACTGCGTCCTTCTGTTGAAGTTATTGCTTCACTAAACAAAAATCATCTGATCTTTAAACAAGGAAGCCATGTACTTCTTCTTGAATGTCTAAATTTTCAAAAAGGCTGAAGCAATTCTTACTACTCCTACAGCTTGCCACATCTCCACCTTTGACCAGGGTGTTGGCCTAAGAGTTCCAGTTAAGGCAATTGGCAAGAACACTGAGGAGAAAGAGGCCCCTCTCAGGATTTGGTTCTCCTACTGGTGCAGCCTCAGAATCCCAGAAGGACTTGTTAGAAATGCAGATTTTTACTTCCTCCTACCCCTTACTGGTTTCTGATTCAGGAAATCTGGGTAAAGCCCAAAGAATTTGCATTTCTAACCATCCCCTCTAACTTCCCCTCTCTCCCTCCATGCTGCTGCTGTCCACATTTTGCAGTCACTGGTTTAAGCTAAGCAGTCACTTATTCTTCCCAGGGTAACTAAGGGTTGAAATCCCACAACCCTATGGCTGCTCCCTGCCTGAGATACCCTGAAACGTGAAACTCTGGAGAGTTGTGTGCACACCACCTGGCAAAGGTGGTTCATCTGAGAGTGGAAAGACCACTTTGCTCTCCCATCCACCTTCTAGACTGGGCACCAGCAAAGCACCCTGAAAGCACATCAGTTAATGGTCTCCTAAGGGGCCAAACTACAGGTTGCGCAGGACAGCGTGGGCCTCTGAGATGATGAAACAGGAAATAGTCACAGTAGATTCAGCTAAGAAGAGAAACACCCTCTGCCACCTAACCTCCGGTCCCATCCCCCTACTTGGAGGAAATTGAGTCTGCTGCTGTCCAGGATAGGAAAGAGAAGTGTTGCTCTAAAAACAAGCTCCTTAATTCCTGGCCTATACTCTGAGGTCGGTTTTCCCAGCATCCTTTGCACCTTAGGTAGTTGGATGCAGCTACTCAAAGCTACTTCCAATACTCTCTCCTTCCTCCATCACCTCCTGACACAAGTCACAGTCCTGAATAACGGCTGTGACCTTCAAATATCTCCCAGTTTCAAACGTCCACCCTAGCTCTCCTATACATATCTCTTCTCTCCACAGCTGCCAGAATGATCTATTTAAACTGAGTCAGAACAAGAACACTTATATATATATTATTATCTTGCTATTCTCACTACCTAGTTCTGCCCCAAAATTTATGTTTACCTTTCTCCCTTACCTACAGAGATCTACTTAAATATTTGCTTCTCATTGAGGCCCTGAGGGCTCCATTCAGAACTGCTTAATTTTTCTTCATAATGTTGACAGCAAAATGGTGTTTTCAGAAGATTGTGGTCCTTGTGTTCCTGCGTGGAAGAATCCAAGCAGAATGCATGGGTGTAAATGGGGTTTATTAAAAGTTACAAAAGGAAATACAGAGGGAGCGTGGTGGAGTGCAGGTGGAGTCTTCTGGCAGATAGACAGTATGCTTTTCTTTTTCAGGCATTTTAAAACCTACACTAACCAACAGGTAGGCCAGATCCAGGAGATTCCCACCCAACAACGAAGGAAGTCAGGAGGGGCATGGGTGGTTCCCAGCCAGGTGAGGGTGGGCTAGGCCATCCCTGGGCAACATACATGAGCCTCAAACTTTGCCTACTTCTGACCTGCCTCAATAACACATGTCATTTATCATCTCCCAATGTACTATTTATTGTATTTATTGTTCGTCTCCCCCACAGAATGTGGGTTTGAAAAAAGGTAGAAAGTTTTTTGCTTATTTTTCTTTATCTGTGTTCCCAATGTGAAGAAAAGTGCCTGGTATATTGTAGGTGCTTAAAATTTTTGTTGCATTTAGAAAAGTTATTCTTCGAAAGTGAAGTAAAAATAAGCTCTCTCACACAGAAATTCAAGAATTTGTTGCTAACAGACTTGCCTTGCGCGAAGTGTTCAAAGAAGATCTTTACAGAAAAGGAAGATAGAACAGAAACTCAGCTCTCCCAGAGAAAGGAAGAGAACCACGGAAAGAATAAATAAAGGTTCTGATCTAAGAGCTGGAGCCAAGTTCCTGGCCTGACTGAAGCCAGTTTCTGTATCAGTCCTGTTGAGCCCATGGTGCATACACAGCACCATAGGCCATTAACGGTAGTTAGGTCAGCAGCTTCTCTAAGTTTTTAACCTCCTGGAGCAGGAAGCAAACAACTTTACAGGATTTGTTCCTCCCCTTGAAGGAATTCATTTGAACTTTAGAGCCTGTGAGAAATTTTTTAAAATTTAAAGCAAACTTAAAGGCAACTACAAAGATATTGTTGCTTTACAAATGAATGAAAAAAAATTGTTACATGAGTACATGAAGTTTGCTTTTCTTGCTACAGAACAAATAGTGCCAGGCTAAGAAGCGTAGTTCTCAAAATGTGCTGCAAATTGGAATCACTTACTCAAAGCCATTTCCCAACCCTGTCCCCTTCCTCACCCACCTCCCTGACACAATCCACTGCCATTTTCCACCTCTGACATTGTGATGTAATTCGTCTGAAGTATGATTGAGCATGAGGGATCTTTAAAAAGCCCCCCAGGTGAGTCTATTGGCCAGTAAAGTTTGGGGACCCCTGGCTGAGACAGACATGGTGGGAGTCAGAGCAGAAGCCCGTGGTGGTACTATTTGCACAATCGTCTGTGCTCTAGGACCTCAGCTCACTGCAATAAGGTAACACATTCAACCTTCTGCACCGACATGCTGATTTCTGATTGGAGAAAGGTGGAGAGAATCTCCAGTGCTTTTACATCAAGAATCCAGAGAAACCCTGAAAGTCAAACTACAGCTGCAACAGAATATGTGCTTCTACCAGTCCTGTGTCCTAGCATGAGCCTTCTGAAAGGGACTTAGGTCTAAACTCGTGGAGTAGCTCACCCCTTTCAGTTTCAGAATCTGGCTCGCTGGGCATCCTACCGGAAGCGCGGGGTGCTAAAATTGGGGGGTGGGGGGTCAGCAGAGTCTTTCAGACAGAGGTGAGCAGTTCTCAGAGGCTCCCACAGTGTTTTTGTAGCAATGGAGACTACGAGGTCATCCATGCTAGTCTTGAGGCTTGGGTCCTCAGTGATCCCAGAGGTAGTGACTTGTCGAGGATCACAGAACAACTCACCGTGTGAGCTCCGAAAGGTCTGAAAATATCCTGCAATTAATGTAGAGCAAAGGACAAATAATGGAATACTGGATTTTTCCAGTAGGAGGAGTTAGGTAAGAAAGCATGAGCAATGATAAAGGTTATGGATAAAGAAAGCCCAGAGAAAGGACAGCAAACCCTATTCAGCCATATGAAACCAAAAGAAAGTGCATGATTCCGTGTTGGGTAAGCAAAACGTGCCGATTCTACCAGGCCTCTCCACCCCAACGTTCACCCTGCCAGCTGGAAGCTGTCAGTCTATGGCATGTCTTAAACAAAAGCTCCAGATGTGGGTTCTTGATGACTCCCAGGTCAGCTGCTAGGCCAACCGAGCTGACAGCACACATCTGTTGGGCTCCTCCTTTGCTCTGAGAGTACCCTCTGCCCATTCAAGTGACAGACCCTGCCCCACACCCTGCAAAGCCCTCCGAATGCCTTGGAGGGCAGAGCCCTGGCAGTGTCCTAGAAAAGGCACACGCATAAATTCACAGCCTTCACAAGAAAAAGCCACCCGGGAGCTTTCTCCTTGACTGTTAAAACTAAAGCCCACGCTCACCGTCCTGGCGCCTGTCAGCTGCTTCAAGTAATCTTGAATCTCGCTTGTGTGGCTGGTGGCTGTGATATCAACAAATTCCAGAAGCCCTTGTTTGAAGGGCAGTTGACTGAGGATCTCTTGGGTCTTTCTGCAGTAGGGGCAGCTGGGCTTAATGAACACAACCACCTTCCCAGGTTGGATTTTGGCGTTCACAAACTCTTGAGCCATGCTGGTGACGGCAGTGTCCCCAGGAGAAATCCTTACTTGCAGGTACTGCTGGGGGTATTAAACCGCAGTCAGGCCAGCTGGCTCCCATTTAGAAAGGATCCTCCTTGGAGGAGGAGCTTGCCTGGTAGCATGCTTGAGTTTTAAAGGGACAGCCCCAAAGTCATTTCAGTCCCGTATGATTCACTAGTTAGGCGTGCCTATGTGTGCACGCTTGCTGTTAATCAGTGATAGCGATGGCCAGGCTGTCTCGTTACTCTACAACCCCCCCACCCCGCACCCCATCGGCAGCACTTGCCCTTCAACAGGGATCAGAGTTAACTCACCATCTGGGGAAGCATAGGAGTGCACACGCCAGCAGTAGGAAGCGGTCCCGGGAGGCAGTGATCTTTTAGAGTGAAATATTTGTTTTCCGTCTTGGAGTCATGGTTGGCTTTTAAAATGTAAACAATTAACCGAAAACTTTGCCTTCTCTTTAGAGGAAGCAGAACTGAAATGGTGACTTAGCAGGGTGTGGAGGCTGCTCCCAGAGTGCTCTGCCTGGCCTTTATAAGGGGTGTTTGTTGATCGTGATTACTTTAATGTAATCAGTTCTTGACATCTAAAAATACAGAGATTTTTACAAATGAATCTGGACTTGGAACTGCCCTCTAAAAAGTCAGGTGGGACAACACTAAGCTTGCCATCTTCAGTGGCAGTAGCTGTGGCCTGAGTTGCTGTTTCCCCTTTGGACAGGGCAGATCATTGCTTCAGTTTGTCACAGGCCCCATCTGGCAGGACATACCTATGAAAGACCTACTGCTCCCCATAAGCATTTGAGTTGGTGATTCATAATCAGCAGTTCAGTAAGGATGCAAATTCCCACACAACCCCTGACTTCAAACTCCAGATAGAATGAGTGTCTTTTTCTGTCAGACTCTGTTTTCAGAGTTTGCTTGAATGGAGTAGTGTGATGATTTGGCTACCACATTCACTTTAGTGTTATAAGACATAAAGGTTTAGGACTAGAAAGTCTTTTCCTGTTCCTAGTTGGAGTGAACAAAAAGATATCACCATCCAGTGGAAAGATCACACCTAGCCTAAAGGAAATGACAAACTACCACCACACCAGGGTCTGGAGCTGAGCAGCTTATCTACCTAATTACCACTTATCTCCTGTAGCTTCCCCTAGCAATCCTTAACTCCACTCTGGAAAATTTTTCCTGCCCAGCAATATTTCCTCTCCAGACTGCTGCTGTAAGCAGCTGTGGGCTCCAGCTCTCTTGCTGGGGACCCTCTCTGGAAGGCCCCTTCCTGAATAATAAACCTGTGCTGGCTTTTGAGCCTTCTTCCATGCCTCTTTCATTCTAACACACCCCACTGCATCCAGGCTGAGCAAAGACACCTAGGTTTAGTTCCCAACTCCTCCTGTGAGCACCAAGTTAAGTTAGATAAGCAAAAGCCAAAACAAATCAACACAAAACCATCTCTTAAAATTGAGTCATCCCTTTGTCCAGAAAGTTTTACAGTGAAACCAGAGATCTTCAAAGAGGTGGGGCTAGGGCCAGAGCTGGAGGCCTACAGAAAAGGGAAGATAATTGGCTCCTAGAAGCAGCTTTTACTGTGACTGAAATTATTGCCAAAATTAAAGTGGCTAAATGATTGCCAAATGGCCAGATTCTGGGTCAGAGAGAGAGAGCTCAGAGAGCACTCTGTTAATAACCAAGCTACATGGTAGGGCTTCAAGGCTGAGGCAACTTATCCAGACCAGCTTGCTTCACAAACAGTGATGGATCTGTACCTCTCTTCTTCATTTTCTTCATCTCAGACCCCAGTAGCCAGGCCCTCCCAGAGGCCTGCCTGAGGCCCGGGTCTCTGCAGGGCCCTTGGGCTGCCTCCTGTTTCCCTGGCTCATCAGCAAGCTTGTCCATTGTTCCCTCAGACGTTTCCTCTCCTCGGCATCATGTCTCACCTCCTGTTGCCTCTTTTTCCTTGGAACATGACTACGTTCAAGCCCCTCCCTGTTAAAAGCTACCTCCACCCCTTCTGTTTTTGCCTTCCTGCCTCTGCCTTTTCCTGAATTTGCTGTTATGTTTGCTGTCTGGGCTTTACTCACCTCTTCTCTCCTCATTTCCTTGCAATCTGACCTTATCAGCCACTCTGCTGAAACTCCTCTGTGTTGCTGAAGGGTGCTACAAGGTGATTGCAGTTAGGTATCCTGACTGAACCTAACACAGATGTCTGAATATGGAGTATTGGGGAACCAGTGGAGAGAACCTCCCCCCAAAACTTGTCTGCACAGGATCACAGGAGTGGTTGGACCCCTCCCACCGTCCCTGACTGAAACTCAAGATAGAATGAAGATGTTTTTCCATGGGACTCTGTGACCTCTCTGTTTCCACTGTGAATGAAGGTAGTGTAATAACCCAGCTACCATATTCATCTCTGGTATTGTCAGGGATGGAGGCTGGACAACACATGGATCTCTACTGTCTGCCTCACAGCTCAGCCCCAGGACTAGGGTCTGAAACCTTAGGACAGATAGCCACAAGGCACAAGCTGAAGGTGTTTTCCTGAGATGCTGTGTAGGACATGGGAGATAAACAGATGGAATGGCAAAGAGGGACTGTGCTCTCTGTTTCTCAGAAATTGCTGGAGAATCGACTCAGTGAGAAATTTGAGCACAGAATCTTCTGCTGCATTTGGTGTGCAGACTGTGACTTTGGCACAGCAGAACAGCAGTGACTACAGGCATTTCAGTGGGGAGTCTCATGGGGGTTGCAGGGAGGCCTGTCCTCCAGAGCTGAGGACAAAAGAGAGTGTGTGTGTGTGAGAGCACTTATGGGCTTTCCTTGGGCTCATGTGAGATCCCCGGGGCCTTTCTGAAGCA